CACACAGAATCTGGTGCAGCTGTGTATAGTAACCAATCAGCTTCTAACTTCAGAATTTTCAATTCAGCTTTGACAATAAAACCTGGAACTTGATTGGTTAATATGTATAGCTGCAACTGTGCGCTCTGGTTTTAGTAAATGTCCCCAATATGTCTTTCCCAAGGGCTGACTGAAAACTCATGGGGCCCCCGGGCAATAGGGGATCATGGGGCCCCTGTGTCCTTGCCCAAACTCAAAAAAGCCTATGAAAAAGGTACCAGGGGCATCTTATGGGACCCTACTGACCCCGGGCCCTCGGGCAGTGCCCGAGTTTCTAAATGGTCAGTCCGCCCCTGGTCTTTCCCATTAACCAACTTACCCCATTTATATAACCTTTAATCTAAACTTACAATTTAATTCTTAACTCTTAACTAGTTCTAAACTCAACCCTGGACCTTATGTCCAACTGTTCACTAAAGCAGTAATAAACCCAAAACCAGAAATGTAATATGCAAATGGTAAAGACCTATGTGCTGCTATGTTCCAACTATAGTAATAATATCAGGGAAGAAGATTGCTGCACTCACTTCTGTGGTGTACTCACACTCAAAATTAAATAAATGAAAAAAATGTGGTGTGCTATCTCATCATAAATAGAACCCTAAGCTTTAGAAACACGAAGTTACAGTCCAAGACATTTTTTTTTCCAATAATAAATGTCCAATCCAGTAAATATTGTGTTAACATCCAGCGATACTCAACACCGTGTTTGACTTGTGACCCCACTCCCTGCTAACCTTCACCATTGACCTATAAATTATAATAGGCCAAAAACACTTTACAAGGAAAACGTGTCTCCAAATTTCTGATCCATGACGTGTTATTTCCATATTATGCTTCTTTAAACCCCAGATCCGTGCAAAATAAAACAATAACATATCATAGTGCAACACTGTTTTATATAACCAAAAATTAAACATTTTACAATATCCACTCACATTAAACAAATTATATGTGACTCCAAATTATAGTGAACATTATATAGTGAATACATGCATTATTCCCCCGTGCCGACTATATTGTGGTGTTTCCCATCACCAGGTAGGTGCACCATCCACTCACCTTCTTCCCACCTGACTTGTTCAGGTCATGTGACCTGTGATGAAACATGTTGGGTGGAGCCTAGTGATGTCACTTCAGCTCATGCCCAAACCGGCAGCTACAGGCAAAGTGACGTACTCGTACGTCACTCTGGCTGTACTAACACAAGCGCACCCCCTCGACTGCTGTGTCCAGCAGACACAGCGGAATGAAGATCTCGGTGAACGGGACCCGGTGATCATGTGATCGCTATGCTATTACTATGTAAGCAAAGCTGCTATGAATCAATGTCATTCATAACAGCTCTACTTCTCTTCCTAGTGAGCTGTGATTGGCCCACAGCTTTCACATGATACATGGAGCCAATCACAGCACACTGTACCATGTGACCAGCTCTAGCCAATCACAGATCACTATCCTGAGCTGTCAGGAACGAGTTAAGTTCTGACAGCAAGCTTTGGATTGCAGGAGAAATTATCTTTATTTTGAAGAAAAAAAATCCCTGATCACCCCCCCCCCACACACACACACACTGTAGTATAATGTTACTATGGTAACATTGTACTATTCTGCTAAAAGTATTTAAAAAAAAAAATATTAAAAATGTAAAAAAAAATTGAGAATTTTTTTTTTTTAAGAGTTTTTTTTTTTTTAACTACTTTCCAACCGCTTACCTGCATGTTTCAGGTGAGCAGCAGCTCTTGGCAAAGCGACACAATCATTTGTTGCTTCCTATTTTGGGGTGTGAACACACCTGCGCCCCCACCCCTCGGTCCAAGGACAGAAGAGTGAACACGGCACTGAGTAAAAGCGCCACTACATTTTACATGCATGCGTTAGATTAGCACATTTAGCCTTTTGATCGCCCCTATTAACCCTTTGATCACCCCTTCACTCAGCCAGTGCCATTAGTATAGTGTCAGTATATATAATTTTTCACTGATCACTGTATTCCTGCTACTAGCGACATCAGATAGCGTCAGGGTCAGCTAGTGTTAGATTGCCCGCACACTATCGCACTCACGCTATAGGTCACTGATCACTGCCATTGCTAGTTTAGTGTTTGTATGGATCAATATATTGATCATGAACAGAACTATACTAGTACCTCCTTTGTATAGTGTCCACAAAAACACAAAGTTAGCAGGATCAGCCTCGTTTGCTGCCAGCACTAGCATTTAGCCCCTCTGCTGTTTTTCATGGAAGATGTATCAATTGATTGTGGGCCAAAGCAATTTATGCGCAAAACAATACATCACCGCCCACCCAAATTCAGCTCTTGCCAGACAATTCGCATGGAAACCTATCACGGTTTCCGAATTTAAAACTCTTTTTGGCCTAACCCCCAACATGGGCATTACAAAAAAAATGAATTGCGGTCATGTTGATCCACAGATCCAATTCATCATATGTAAATGTTCTCTGTTATTACGTATATGCCCAGCATGGACTAGCAATGTACTGGTACATCGTTGGACTTTAAGTGATTATATTGGGATGATGCCTGCAGCTACAGGCATCACCTGGTATCGTTTTTTTCAGCTGGTGGTGGGCTTTCATGTAAAAACAATCCTAGTGGCCAATTAGTTGCTGAATTGTTTTATGAGCAGCAGGAAGGGACATCCCCCTGCTGCTGCCTTTTACAGTTTTCTTAGGCTCTTCTGTCCCACAGGGGAATCCGAGAATGCAGCCAGCAGTTCTGCTGGCTGACCATAGAGTTGGTCAGAGACCAGAATGGCTCCAATCATCTCTATAGTCTAAGAAATCAGAAGCTACACAAATTTCATCACTTTAGTTTCATAGGATATAAAAAGCGCCATTTGTAAATTGGGAAACCATCTGATCACACCAATCTTGGTGAGATTAGATAATCTAAGGGCAGAGGAGACATCTAGAGTCTAATAGACCCCAGAATTCTCAAAAAAGAATATATGACAATGCCCATTGAAGTTATAGGGGATATTTGCATTCCCTATGTTAGAATTAAAACTGATTAAAAAAAAAAAAAATTAAAGGGACAGTGTAAAAATAATAAAAAAAAAAAATCAAAATAACCAGAAAAAAGCACCCTTGTCCCCCTGCGGATGCGCACCTGTGTGTGCAAGCGTTGACCCCGTGCCGGTATGTAAACAGTGGTTGCACCATGCATGTGAGGTATCGCCGTGAACGGCAGATCGAGGTCAGTAATTGTAGCACTAGACCTCCTGTGTAAATGTAAATTGGTGACCTGTAAAGGCTTTTAAAGCGTCACCTATCGATAATAAATATATATGTACTTTGTTGTCATTACACGGGCATGCACAATTTTAAAGCATGTCATGTTTCGTATCTACTTACTCCGCATAACATTATTTTTTATATTTTATCAAACAATTGGGTAATATATTGTGATTTTGTGCATTAAAATTCTAAAAAAAAGTATTTTTCCCTAAAGATTTGCATTTGAAAAATCGCTACGCAAATACTGTGTGATGTAAAAAAAAATTTCAACACCCACCATTTTATTCTCTAGGGCCTCTGCTGTAAAGAAATATATAATATTTGGGGGTTCAAAGTAATTTTCTAGCAAAAAAAACTGTTTTTTCATGTGAACAAAAAGTGTCAGAAAAGGCTTGGTCTTCTGGAGTGGGTGATGTGTGGCATAAGCTTCTAATGTTGGCCATGAAATGCCAGGATAGTAGAAGCAGTCCCTCCAAATTACCCCTTTTTGGAAAGTAGAAACTCCAAGGTATTTGCTAAGAGGCATGGTGAGTGTTTTGCAGATTTCATCTGTTGCCACATGTTTTTGGAAAATGAAGAAAAAAAAACAAAAAATTTATTTTTACTTGGGAGAAGTAGCAGAATGTGATTTGGGGTGTTATTCCACATATTCCCATGGAATGCATGAACAATATATCATTAAAGTGACAACTTTGTGTACAAAAACAAAATGGTCATATTCATAAAAATTTGTGACAAAAAATAAAATGTTTCCATGGACTCAACGTGCCTCTCTGCAAAATCCTTGGGATGTCTACTTTCCGAAAAGGGGTAATTTGGGGGGGGGGGGGGGGGGGTTGTACTGCCCTGGCATTTTAGCACCTCAAGGAATGTGATAGGCAGTCAAAAAGTAAAAGCTGCATAAATTCCATATATATACCATAGTTTGTAGATGTTATAACTTTCACACAAACCAATTAGTATACACATACTGAGATTTTTTCAAATCAAAGACATGTAGCAGAATACATTTTAGCCTAAATTTATGACTAACGTTGAGTTTATTGGATATATTTTATAACCAAAAGTGAAAATTTTATTTTTTCAGTATTTTTTTGTTTATAGCACATGTGTTCTTTTTAATAGAACACAAATGTGCGGCCGCTCAGCGTCTAGGCCCAGACGCCGGGAGGTTATACATTTGCGTTTGGCCGGCCTAAAGAGATTAAGGAAGCATAATATATGGAAGGAACACGTCACGGATCAGAAATTTGGATACACATTTTCCTTATAAAGCGCGTTTTTGGCCTTTTATAATCTATAGGTCAATGGTCAACGTGAGCAGGGAGTGGGGTCACAAGTCAAGCTCGGTGTTGATTATTGCTGGATGATAACACAACATGTACTGGATTGGACTTTTATTATTGGAAATTGTGTTTCTAAACCTTATAGTTCTATTTACGATGAGATGTGAAACACATTTTTTTCATTTTTTTCAAATATTTAATTTATTGCAGCTTACCAATCCTTAGATGTGGTGTCTGCATTTGTTTTCTTTTTTAGACTTTTTTGCCTTTGTTTTCACCTGGTGATCTGGCCAGTAACACGCCCCCTGTATTAGAGTGCCTACACTCAGGATGAATGAGCACAGAGGCACATTTGGACAACAGCATTGTCAGTCTAGGTGGAGGGGATTGTTATATGGACTAGCAGATTCCGATACCGTAGCCTCCCTGGCGGTATTCCCGAGTGTAGCTCGGGATAAAGTTTCAGTACCACAAGCGGTAACCCCGAGCTACACTCGGGCTTACCATGCAGCGCTGCTCTGGGATCTCTTCTTCACTTACCTTGTCCTGTGCTCCCGCGATGTCCCTCCTGCAGTGTCCCCTGTAATGTCCTCCGGCGGATGCCGGCATCTGTCATCTGGGTTCCGTTCCCTGCGACGTCAGGATGTACGGGAGAAGGAACGGAGGGAAATTTGAAAATGACAAAAAGTGACATTCACTAAATACACAAAAATCACATAGTAAAACATTACTGTATCAAACCATTTCACATACATGTTGTCCCTAGTGCTTTGTCCTGTGCCCTGCCTGCATATTTACTGTTCTTTCTGCCTGGAAACTGAGAAATGTCCATGGCGTCCAAAAAGCGTCCCTTTAGGTCAAAACCGGTTTTAGACCAGCTAGAGAACAGCGATAGTAAATTAGAACTACTTGCAGAATTGAGTGATAATGATTCGTGGGGAAATTCATCATCAGACACTGAAAACGATTTTGCGACTTTGCTCAGTGATGTGTGAACTTGGCGCTATAATTCAAATTTCAGTGTTTTTGGTTTGATTATATTATTGAATTACATTTATTATTATATTATTATTTTTATGATTATTTATTAAATTATAATTTATGATTTCGTGTTTCAAATTGTAACATACCCGGGATGTTTACTAGACTCTTGTTCAGACAGATTTCAGTGAGTTATTCCTAAAAATTACAGGCCTACAATAAAAAACTACATATTTCCATACAGAAAAATGTACCGCTTTGAGCACAGAAATACTGACATAATCAGACCGCTAGAGAGGTTAACAAAGTGAAGCCAATTTCCAGCTCATACTGCAGCTGCACAAGCAGTTACAGCAAACAGTTTTCCCCTTTTGGGTTAAAGGTTTTATATGAATACATAAAAGTTGATCGTTGTAAGCATCCCTGTCAATGGTAAATGGTTTGTTTCAACACTTTAACTACTGCATTTTGAAGAGCTTTTTTTGTTGAAAAACAACAGATTTATTTTCTGCATCATATGTGGTATTAAAGGAAAGAAAACCTAAAAATTAAACTACTGCATCCATCACATCTAAGAATTGGTAAGCTGCAATATAATAAATGTTTGCTTTTAGCTTTAATACCACTTTAACCACACTTGATTTCCTGAGCTAAATTAGTGATACTTACTTTACTGGGAGTATACTTTTGGTTGTAACTTACCAATGTGGGCCTCAAATAGTAATAACTCCAGCACCAAAACAGAAATTAAAATATATGCTTTGACCACTTGACCTCTTCCCTATAGCAGAAGTACTGTTACAGGGTGGCAGGGCTGTGCAAAATCACATATATATATGTAATTTGCACTTTCGGGTAGGGGGGTGCGCGCACGCCGCCTCCCTACCCGCTCCTCTATTGGCAGCTAGAGATGTCAATTACCGGGTCACTCGGCGATCAGCACTCGGTGATCTTCGGGGAAAGATGACGGGGAGAGATATGTGTGTAAACAACACAGGTCTCTCTCCTGTCAGCATGGACATGCTGCTTTGTATCTCTCTGCACAGTAGATTCAAAACAGCATGTCTCCCTAGTAAAACACAAAACAGAGCATACAGTAAAACACACAGTTAACCCTTTGATCACCACAGATGTTAACCCCTTCCTGCCCAGTGTCATTAGTACAGTGTCAATGCTTTTTATTAGCACTGATCACTCTATTAGTGTCACTGGGGATGTCAGTGGCAGTTAGTCAGTTCCCACCCAGTGTCAGAATGCCAGCCACAGTCCCGCAGTCCCACTATACGTCGCTAACCACCGCCATTACTAGTATAAAAAAAATTTAAATTCCAGTATATATACACCACCATTTGTAGATGCAATAACTTTCACGTAAACCAATTAATTTACATGTATTGGGATTTTATTTTGCAAAGACATGTAGCAGAATACATTTTGGCCTAAATTTATGAAGACATTTTAAAAAAAATGTTATTGCATATATTTTCTAGCAAAAAGTCAAAAAAATTGTTGGTCTTTTTTTGTTTATAGCGCAAAAAATAAAAAACGCAGAGGTGATCAAATACCACCGAAAGAAAGCTCTATTTGTGGGAAAAAATGACATAAAATGCATTTATGTACAGCGATGCATAACCGCACAGTTCTCAGTTAAAGTAATGCAGCTCTGAATAGCAAAAAATGCCCTGGTCAGGAAGGGGGGTAAGTCCTCTGGAGGGCAAGTGGTTAAAGGATTAGTTCACCTTTAAAAAAAAATTATAAAAGTACACAACTTTTTGAAGGTAAAAAAAATGTGCATTTATTATTTTTTTATTGGAAGCCTGTAAAGTATCACACCTACAATCAGTAGATCGTGAGTGCAATCGTGGCTCTTGCAGACTGTCTGTGTATCTGTCTGCCTGTACCTCATATGGGCAGGCAGTTACTGAATGACAGGAAGCATCCTTGTACTACCTACTGTAGTGTGCTCATCAGTACCCTGCTGGTTCATTGAGAACTGAGGATAGTTGAAGGGCTGACGATAGTTGTGATTCTCCGATTCACAAAACGTTGAATTAATGGCGTGGCTGGGTGGGCAGAGACCCGTATTTTTTTTTTTTTAATTGTGTCAGTGGGTGAGGGGGAAAGATCCTGCCCTGCTGTCACAACATGGACTTGGGGGTTGTGGGGGCTGCTCAGTTTGTAACATGCTACACCCTAAATATTATTATAGGTACTTATATAACTCTGTCAATTTTACGCAGCGCTTTACATATATGTTGTACATTCACATCAGTCCCTAACCCTCAAGGGGTGTACAATCTAAAGTCCCTAACTCACATTCATACATACATATACAAGGGCCAATTTAGACAGGATCCAATTAACCTACCAGCATGTCTTTGGAGTGTGAGAGGAAACTGGAGTACCCGGAGGAAATCCACACAGGCACAGGGAGAACATGCAAACTCCAGGCAAATGGTGCAGTGGTGCATTTAGCCACTGTGCTGCCCATATATGAGTGCAACATGTAATATGTTACTAAAGGTGAACGTATGCTGAAGCATTGCTGCATTTTTCTAAAATGTGCTATAGTTTGTTACATAAAGGTGAACAGTATCATCAAATGAAACGTTACAGTTCTTATATGCATGATAATGGAGTGCATTGTGTCCCATTCCTGTGTGAATAAAGCCTTAGGTCTCATTCACACAGCTGTAAAAAATGTATTTACAAGCGTTATTTAATAAATGGATCTGAATGAAGCTGCATTGTTTTCAGTGGAGACATTTGCGTATTTTCATAAACATGAACTGTGTTCAAATCTGTAACACAAAATCCAAAAATCCGCATCTGAAGACGTACATATACATGTATGACAGATGCAGGTATTGCAAAAAGAAAACAAGACATTTTTTGGCATGTATTTACTGATCATTTGGCAGGAGGAACTTTTGTGCTAGAAATAAACATGTGTAATAGGATCAGTAAAAATGTAAAAACACCCATCTGAATGTAGCTTTCTACTCATATGCATGAACATGCATTTCCAAGACTTACTGATTAGTCAGTAATAGTGAAATCAAAAATTACATTTAGAATGTAGTGAGTCAATAGCATTAACACAGTATTTTTTTTTCTTGGGTCCTCATAACATACTTTATAATATGTTTATAATATGTTATTTTTTTCCACTTCCGTCAACAGACCAAGCTGTCCAGCAAAGGTGTCAGTTAGAGGGGTTGGGACAAACTATTGATCAGTGACAGGTGTGCTTACAACTGCCAGCTTTTAGTCATGTGGGTTAAACCTATTTTCCTTATGAATAAAATATTGTTGCTGTAATTGTTTTAAAAGTATTAGCTAGATTTAGGCTACAATGTGTTCGTCTCTTTCTAAAGCAGAACCTATCATTTACAGCCAATGAAGCTGCCCCCTTGGCCTCTGTTTGATCTGCAGTTGCTATGATGCTGCACATGTGATCATATATAACACTAGCCATTTGATGGGTTGACAGATTGGTTTGGAGCAGGAAAAAAACTATGTTACTGGGGGACAAAAAGTGCTGTGTTAATGCTAGTGACAGACAGGGTCATTCGTGCATTTTTTTTATTTTACGCACAGTCCTTCCTTAACCCCTTCCCACAGATGCTCCCTGCCTCTTTAAGAAAATGAAAATAGCAGGAGGAGGTGGTAGGCATTCTGATCATGTGATTGGCTGTCACAGCAGGCACATGATAGGAATTTCCTGATCGCATGTATGCACTGGGAGCTTCCCATGACATTTTAATTACAAAGGTTTTGAACAGAGCAGCCCTGAACCTCCTCTTCTCGGGTCCCCCACCAGCACTGCTGGCTCACCCCTCCCCACCACCGAGTGCCCACTATAGCAAGCCGCTTGCTATGGGGGCATTGGGGTGGGCTCACTCTTGAGCCATCTCTGTGGGATTGATTTACTAAAGGTAAATAAACTTGCAGTTGCTCCTGAGCTTAGTAAAAGGGCAGAGGCTCTGCTGACTTCCGTCATCCAATCATGTGCAAGCAAAAATATATTTTTTTTTAATATCCTTGCATGTGACTGGTTATTCTTTGCAAACTGAAGCTTTATATAATTTACTAAGCTCTGGAGCAACTGCAGTTTGCAAAGTGCACAGTGCATCCATAGACACACAGAGTGTGTCTTAGCCTCACCCCCTGGCTCTCTCCTCACTAGCTGTGATTGACAGCAGTGGGAGCAATGGCTCCCTCTACTGTCTCTGAGCCAATAAGGAGGGGGAGAGCCACTGCTCTCATGCACATCGCCAGATTGAGATTGGGCTCAGCTAATGGGGGGAGGGAGCTGCACTCAGAAGGTTTTTTACCTAAATGCAGAGAATGCATTAAAGTGCTACTAAACCCAGGAGCCTGCATTCACTATATATGGTCTCCCACAGTACACAGAACATGGAAATGCAATTATTTTAGTAAATATAAACTGCTAAATACCTTTTCTCATCAGCAGTATATAGCAGTCTGGTGACTTCTATCAGTGTTCAACAGAGTACTGGATAAAGCTTTTAGGAGGAGTTTTCTTTCTGCTCCAGGAGGACACAGAACCCCTGACCTCTGTGTGGACAGTGCTGATTGGCCCTGTGCTGATCACATGCCCTCTCCCAAGGAAAAAAAAAAACACTCTCAAGCAATACACACCAAACTGAGCATGCGCAGTGCTTCTCCACACATATGTCTTATAAGGAGATAAAAAGGAGACATTGGAAGAAGGGAAGGAACAGAGAAGTCAGGATCAAACAACAGTTTT